AGTGGTGCTGGCTCCTACCCTGGGGGTCTTTAAGACAAGGCTAGACAAACACCTTGCTGGGGTCATTTGACCCTAGTACTCCTTCCTGCCATGGCAGGGGGTCAGACTTGATGATTTGCTCAGGTCCCTTCTGACCCTGCTAACTATGAAACTACGTGTAGACACACCCACTGTAGTGGAATAACCTGATTGGCCTATCTAATTAGGAGTAATAATGATTGTGTTCCAGGATTATGACTATGCTTTGTAAGTGCACTACATAGTCCAGAATAGCATGCATGGAGAGGGTGCTGTTTCAGAATACCTTATCCTATGGGGACTATTCTGGTGAATTTCCCTGTACAGATAAGTCCTAGTTGCTCACAAAGCCTTTTGTACAGAGCTCAGCTAACATCCCTTTGAAGTACACCCACCCTAGTGCATTATAGTTTGCCAATATTTTGTCAGCAACCAGTCTGTTGAATACATGCGAGAACAGGCATGACATCCTACTTCTAGCCTGTGCCTTCCGGTATGCTCTCACTCAGTTCAATTACTGAGGCAAAAGGATTTAGGGTCGCACCCAGTCTAGCCACCTACTAGATACCTAGATGAGACTTGCATAGAATACAGGTAAGTTGTAATAGGCAGCTCATAATAACCTGCTCAGGGGTGGGGGCACAACACTCATAAGGCCTCTAGATTCATTCAACGTTTATATCCTAGACAGCAAAGATCCGTAGGTATCTAATCTTGGGCTTCTGGATATGTACTGAAGTGCTCAAGTTCAGGCAGAAGCTAGGCTCTCAGCTAAAGTCCCTACAGGTGCTGTGTCAGGTAGACATATCTGGAGCTCACACAGCAACAGTGCTGAATGCTGTACAAAAGCAGCCATGGAGGAGGAGCCCACTTGCTCTATAACAGCATAGCCAACTGGCCCAGGAAGGGAGAGACCAGAGTTCTAGGTCCTCTGTAATTCAAGCTCACATCCCCCATCTCCCAGGACAGTGATGCAAGAACTAATAAGTCAAGGTAGGGGCAGCTTCCACTGTCCTGTGGGAGCTGGGTCATTGTGAGCCAAGAACACAAGAGTTGTGAATCCAGAATGAGAAAGAACGGGGGAGAGGGCGGCTGACTGTAGCTGAGTGGCAGTCGACTGGGAATGGAGAGTTCTGCTCCCTGGACTGTTTGTAGATTTTGCATTTGACAGTCATCAGATAAAGGACCAGAAATGACCCCAGAGCAGAAACCAGAACCCACTGCTCGCTGCTCTGACTCTATAGATCAGATTTTTCACTTGTTCAGCGCAGATAATTGAGGCCAGATTTACAAAGGGGCTCAGCATCCAATATGCATCCCATGTGCTGCACCCTTTTGAAAATCCAGTCACTTGTTCTGGTATCCAAAGTGACCTCTTTGGCCATCCAGTCATCTCATAACATATCAGTGAGGACACACAACTAATTTAAACAGGATATTTGTCAGTTGAAATTAATCTGCACTAGGGAATGGCTTTAAAAAGAAACAGCATCAACTAACATCAGGAAGCTGACAATACTTCTTTTTCAAGAAAACCCCAGCTCCTTGATTCCTGTGATTATGTGAGAATCACAGCCCTAATTTTTTTAAAACAGTAAATTTCTAGCACTTGTGGTGGTAGAGAAAAGCTTTCCATTGTGAATCTTAAAGTCTCAAAAGCTAAAGACAAATAATATGACCCCTACTGTATTAACTTTTTAAAAATCCCATGCTTTTAAAGCTAATCACAAGGATTTTTGTGGGAGACTTGAGTTATGATTTATGGATGTTGCAATTTTGGCAGGTAGAAGAATTATATGAGGCAGTCACAGCAAATAGGGAAGGTGATCTGAGGTGGAATACTCTGGTCTCCCTCTCACAGAGCACAGCCACAGAGCACCATATAAAAGCCCTGTCCCATAGTTAAAGAGTAGGGGAGACAAAGACACTTCCAAAGACTCAAAGGAAGTATCAAAGGCTCAATTTTTTTCCTTTGAATGGAAAATACACTGAAAAACCTGAATGCATTTTCCTTGAAACTGGCACCAAAAAAATCACTATGGCTAGGGACAGACATTACACATACACCAGTTTAAATGATCAGAAACTGGTTTAAACCTGTAACAGAACAGACATTCAGTGGACATAAACCAGGTTAAAATGGCTGAAACTGGTTTGAGATAAATCTGGTTGAATGTAGGATCAGACTTAACTGATTTGGGTCAAACTGGTTTATGCAATGTCTGTCCCAGACCCCTTCTTGGTTTAACTTAAACCAGAGTCCCCCAGCATCCCAGATGCTTTGCAG